TGCAGTCACACAAAGACACACGCACACACAGACGCAAGTCCTGCCAAAAAACTGGGATTGTCTCGAAGGGTGTACGTGTCACTCTTCTCGGTGACCGCAGCTGCCACCTCCATCTCTGCACCATTGTCACCCTGGGCAAACCTCTGGAGCCACCTCGAATCATTCTCAGAAATGCCGGTGCACTGACAGCCCCACACACATATGAGAGGGAAAAAAGAGTAGCCCTTGCAAACAAGAAACTCTTGGACTTCAAGCGTACAGTTGGGGGTCGTCCTCAGCATTTCCTGTGCCATATGGACTGCACAGGCACAGATCTCCGCTTTGTCCTCGACTGTGGACTTGGACAACTTGGCCCGGCATCCGACTGCTGTTGCACTGTGCTGGCTTGTCACCAGGTCGACAAAGAGCTCGTATGAATCCTCCGTCACCTGCAAGCGGCTAAACCAGGCAGAGGTTTTCGCAACCTTGCTGGTGCGGAAGCTGCCTCCTGGATATATCTTCCGGGAGGACAGGGAATCATCCGAGAATGGGCACTGCTCCCACCCGAAAAGGGACACACACGTCTGCAGCTTCTCCAGCAGGCCCTTCTTCAAATTGAGGAGCAGCTGCACCACCATGGATTTCCGTCCGGTTATCTGATCACACTTCGGGCATGTGGAGTTCCATGAACGAAGAATGTCTTCCGGGCTCGATGTGTTCAAGCTGCGCAGCCCATACACGAAGGATAGCGCTGATGGCGCCTTTCGGATGGCACCACGGTTCGAAGCACCAAGGTTGAAGAACCTCGAGTGAAGAAATACATCATATGTGGTATGTATCTGCATGGCTGCATGCATGCGAGCAAGCAATGAAACTCAAATCTCACATTGACTAAGCCCTTCACAGCCGTTCCTTGGCCGAGCTGAAAGAAAAGCACTTGCAGTGGATGTCACCGACGGTCACCCAGAGCTTGGGCACCTTGAATCAACCCCCGAGACATCGTCAAACATAGCAACATGAGAAGGTTTCTTTCCTTCACAATGCGAAGTACACGACACACTGTTGTCGAGTTGCAAACTCCTGCAGTTGCACTGTGTGCTTGTAGCAGTACCACAAAAAGGCGAGCAAGGTCAGGGTGCGTCCCTGGCTTTTCGTGTGTCCCACACTGAAGTTGGCCAAATTTTCATCCGATGAAGGGTTCTCCATGTGAACCATGAGGGGCTCCTGTTTGGTGAGGAATCCTTCCGCGACGATTCGCTGCCACAATGACACAGACATCTGTAGAGTTGGTGGCTCACGAAGGCTGCCGTCATTCGAGAAAGCAAACTTCCATATGTCCAGTTTGAAGACCGGGGCGTCGCAGTCGGGTGGATATGCCGGCCAAGGGCCTTCGCATTGGGCAGTCGGGGAGTTGTCGGGCAGCTGTTCTTGGATGTACTTTGCGAAAGCACATTGGGCCATCTGGGTATTCAAATGAGACTGAAGGTATTGCCTTACTCCACCATACGGCTTGACATCGGCCAGGAGGTTCGCTAGGAAGAGGTCGGTCTGCGCCGTGATCGGGTTGTCATCTGCAGTGATCATCATCGGCACAGCACTTCCATTTTCACTTGTGCCTGTCACCGTACTCGGGAGTTGCACGGACTCAGCAGCCTCACTGGCACCATCCAACATAGCAGTTTTCTCGGATGCTGCACCGTCGGACTTCACCAAAAATCGCTCCATGGTGACTGGGCAACTCAAGCTGCAGGTGAGAGCAATCAAAGCACAATCCGAAGAAGCTCCAAGCTGGATTTCATTCAAAACTGCTGGTATTTCTATCCTCAAAGCAGCCGTCTAAGCAAACTCCAAGCAGAGCCTGACCGGGCCGATCTCGAAAGCCAGCTTCTCAACATAGAGATCGCCCGGTTTCCTTGGAAACCGGGCGGTGTCCTACCAAATGCTCTGCTTCCGGCGATGTCTGTGTTAAGATTTCGGACATCGAGATCGGCGGAAACAACCCAACCCCCTGGAGAACGCCCGGTTTCCATGGAAACCGGGCGATCTCCCGATCCGATTTCTGTGCTGGGAGATCGGCTCGATTAGCTCTCCCTGTCTACAACATCAAGCTGCACTGAGCCAATCATCCCGTTCTTTCAGGATGGCATCCACCATGGCTGTCACCAATTCAGGTGGATAAACTTGGCACCAACGGCTCAACCTGTGACCCTGCTCATTACCTGAAATTTTCTGGTGGGTCTTGTGCCGCCCGTTGCAGAAATGTCCGTGCAAGGCATCCTTCAGTCTCTTGGAATTCGTTAGAAACCTAGTTCTTTTCATGATTGGCACTCCGCTGGGCGACCTCATTCCAAAGCAGCACATATCGAACTCGACGGTGTGCGGGCTCTGGAGATCGATAACCTGGCCAGTCTGGGTGCTGTTCCACACATCCTCTTGTTATGTGCTTGTCAGCTAGCATTCACTTGCCGGGTCACACAAGATCGCCGCCACATCTGGGACACCGCGGGGTGCTCCAGGGAGTAGAACCCACCTGTCTCCTTCTGGATCTGGGCCACCCATGAGGTGACATCCACATGATGAAGTCCGTCCTTCAAGTCAGAGAGCCTCTTCTGGAAATCACCACGTGTCCAATTGGAGTTGCTGAGCGAAGACAGGTGTGTGCAAGGTGGACTTGCATGAACAAAGAAGGGACGATGCTTGTACTGGTCCTGCACCAAGCTCCTCTGCTCGTTCGCCGACAAGAGGTTCCAGCCGGTCACCAAGTCATAAGCTCGACTGTGACTGTAGCCTTTGTCGGACAGGATATTGATGAGGCGGGGTGGACTGTAAAGCTCCCAAAGAAGGTCGCAGCCGGACAAATCTCGGGAAACCATGGCCATTTCCTCAGGCACGAGGTCAGCGTGGGGCAGGACAGGCCTCAGCGTATCTCTACAACATCAGAAACCAGCTCGTGCACACGACTGTCTGTCATCACCAATCACAGTGCATGGGACAAAATAAGTCTGGAACTGTCCGACATGCTCATCGCAGCATTGGTTCATGGAGGGTCTGGAATCCTTCTTCTCTTTCTTCTTGGGCTTGTCTTCTTCAGTCTCCGTGCACGCCTGTCGCTTTGGTGTCTTCGTGCCAGCCTTCGGTTCCCGTTTCTGCTTTGGTTCCCGTTTCGGCTTCACCTTCCTTGGGGCTGTCTGGATTTCCATGGGCTCCGCATCGCTGGGGAGGTCATCGTCTAGCGAGCTTGCCATCTACACACACACACATGCACACACGCGCACGGAGCCTCCTCAGAAGCTGCAGATGAGGACACTTCTTGGGATTTCTGTAGCACGGCTGAGGCCAAGAAAACATGGAACGAGGCAAAGCTAAGGGCACATATTTCACGCAGCCCCAGGAGTGCACGAGATTGTAATCGAGATCGCTCGATTGCAGAAGCATTGCCAGCTATTGCCAGCTATCACTTCAGAACCCGAAGACATGACACACAGGGGCACGACATTGCATAATTTGCATAATATAGAAAGTCTCTCTATCTAGTGTGTGTGTGTGCACACCTGCCAGTCATGAACCCTGCAGCTGCTGCATGGAAGCTGCACCGTCGCAGACTTGATGCGATGCGATCGGTCTCTATGGCCGACAAAACAAGATGAAAATCCACAGCCATCATCCACGGGCATCACCGCCAGCACGTCCCCCACGGCCGCAACCGCGACCACGACCTCTTGGCCTGTAATTCGGGCTTCTGCACTGCTTACAGCCGATCACCGAGTATCTGCACTTGGAGCACCCAAGAACTGGGGCTGCAGGTGGCACATCTGGACCTGCAGGTGGCCCATCCGGCCCGGGAGGCCCAGCTACTTCCGGCACTGCTTCGGCCGGCGCTGGGGCAGCTGGCTCTGGGCAGCGCTTCTTGTTGCCTTCAGCATCGGGCTGCTTCTGACTCTTCCTCTTCTGCTGCTTGGCAGGCTTCTCGGGCACAGCATTCACGATCGTCACTGGGCGGGGTGTTCCCGGACCATACTTCTGCCACCTTACTTGCGGCAAGAATGGTAACAAAGACCACCAGACAAGGTACCCAGCAAAGACAGCCACAGCAGACAAGGTACCCCTCGGGGCAGCCCGCTTCAAGTAGTGAGCGAACAGGCTCACTCGGAGATGCCCATCTTGGAACAGCAAGAGCAGGCCGCGGACCGTGGTCACATTCCGTCTTGTTGGTTTCCTTACAACTCCATGGGAATTTTTGAATATATGTCTACTGTGACACAATGTGACACAGCATGCACTATCACGACCCTAAAGTCTCGGTCCGGGTGCATCCTAGACACCACCAGACCACGCAAGTACGCTGCGGCTTGGTGAAAAAACCACGGCTCCATCGATACACTCGCAGCTGTCTTCAGGAACCTGAGAAACGCAAAGGATGGGAAACAACATCGCATCACCCTTGCAATCATGGTATGAAAAAGGTAAGTCTCCGTCTCCTGCCGTTCGCGGTCGGACAGCCTCTTCTTGATCTGTGTGCGCAACGTCGCAGGATCCAAAGAATCAGCAATCTTCTTCGGAACTAGAACCATCGGCGCTTGACTCAGGCTGTCTGAGCAAGTCCATTCCTTCACCATGAGGATGACGTCCATAGGGTCAGGCTCCACTTCGGAGTAGCTGTTCTGCAAATCCCAAGTGTCAGGTGTGTCGTAGCCGGGGAGGTCCTGTTACAGGTAATCCTTTGATGAAGGTTCTACTGTAACCCCAAGGCAGAACTAGCGCGCACGCTGCACTAACTGAATCATGTTGCAGTCCTTTCGAAGGCACAACCTCCAGGAATGGTTCGTGTGCATCTCGTTGTGGCCCTGCGGATTCGGAACCAATCCGCCGATCGAGCAGGGCAGGTTGCTGATGTAGTGCTTGAAGTCCAGGCTCTGGTCCCAGAGCTTGACAATCAGCTTCCTACCCCGGCCGGGGCGCATGTTCTGTCGGATGCATTCGGCCACATCCTCACGACATGTGATGCAAACATACATGAATGCAGTCATTGGCCATTCAATTCTTGCTTTGGTCAGTCCTGAGGTGTTTGCAAGACAGTTTCTCGCTTCGCGAGTGCGCCAAACATGACCGAGAACCTTTGGTCGAGATAGTTATGTGTATGCCCGACGCCCCCGTATAGATGCGTCACCGATCTGAACCTGAGCTACAATTTTTGTGAAAATCTGAGTTCATTCGGTCTGCAGGGAACAAGAATGGCCAACGTCAATGCCCTGTGGCTTTCTTTGGCTGAGCAAAAGAGCCTCGGCTTTCAGCATCACCTGGTTCTTGGCTTCTCGGCAACAATTGTCCGTCTGCACAGGGCTGCGAGGACTCGTGATTTTGGACTGTTGAGCACAAGGCATGTTCAGAAGAAAGTCCATCCCAGATACAGGCCTCCAGTGCCAAATAAGGTGGCACTTCAATGTCTCGCTCCCGCAAGATGGTTTCTGAGGTCTGCAGGACATCGCACAGTAGCGATACCTCCGTGCTGCTGTCCTTCATCACGTCCGGGGAAACGAGGTAATAGATTTCTGCAACCTGAACGGCTGCAGGTAGGAATCAACTCGGTAGTTATCTCATGCAGCGCAACATCCTACAAGCCATTCCGCACTGCTTCTGCTTGGACGAGCAGCTCCATGCACCAAAGCTCCCATGACATGAAGCTGCGCGCGCCAAAGGGACGACAGGAACTTGTTGTTGTCGAGCCCTTTGGGGAGCAAGGTCTTGCTTTGATCTGCACCGTCCAGGTCTATTTTCAAGATCCCGGTCGGATCCGAGATCCCCGGTCTGGAAGTCGACTCCTCGCTGAGGTGGTTGAGCCTTGTGCACAAGGTCCGATGCGACATCACCTGATTGATGTGTTGCTCCTGCGCCCTTTGCAATGGGATCTTGTCGGCTTCTGCCAGAGCATTCTTGATCCTCTGGGAGAACCGAGAACAGGTGGCACACCTCGAAAAGCACAATACGACGACTGCCACACCCACGACTACACCTCGAAAAGCACAACACGACGACTGCCACACCCAAGTGACTCCAACACGTGCCAATCTAAGTAGCAAGCCTTGCATGCTGCGACTGTTTCCGGATGCGAATGAGCTTGCTCCAAGTAGTGCTGAGCTTTGACGAAACGGCTCTGCAAAACGTCCTGTAGGATGCCGGCTCCTCTTCGGTGCCCTTGCCAGACATATACAGCTGGTAGTGCGCATACATGCATTCGTAACTTTGGTGCGGGATCCACTTCGGCTGTCTGCGGGCGGTGCCTCCGGCTCTCTCTCTAGACACTTGAGCTGGAATCAAACTATATCATGAGAATGACAAGATAGGCGTTATTTTGATTGCCTGGTCCGGTATCTGCAGCAGCGAGTGCCACTGGATCGGAGTCCAGGAACAAAGCTTCCTGCAGACCAGGCTCATCTGGAAGGACCACGAGGTCATCGATGGAACCACCTATCAGGAAAAGCCAGCATTCAAAAATATCACGTCGCAAGCCTCCTAACTCGCCTGAGAGGAATGAGCCCGCGGAGACGTATAAGTCTTTGAGGTACGGACAGTCAACGTCGCAATGCGTCTCGCTGAGAGGTTCCGCCACGGACGTGTAGCAGAAGTGCAAGTAGCCATCGACGCTTTCACTTTTCGGGCTCAAAGAGTCGATTGTAACGGTCGAGGCTTTGCTGCGCAGATCAGCTGGAAGCAGCCCCTTGCCCACGCCCGGCAACAATCTCTTGACCTAAGTGAAAATGAGCAGAGGCAATGAAAGCCATGGGTAATGAGCAATGATTTCTCGGTTGGGGCTGGCTGCTGGAAAGAGGCTCTCTTGTAGTTGACGTTCAAGAGCTTCGCGAACGCATGCGAGCAGATGTGCTGGCCAATGAGCTGGTATCGCAAGTTGCCACTGCTGTCCTTATCACTCCGAGAAATAGGCATCAGCAACAACTAAGCTTCGGCACACCTGTGTCTTCATGCTGCTATTGCTCGCCTGGGCACAACCGGGCAAAGGCTCATGATGCTGAGCAGGAATCTGTTCTTCTCTTCCTCGGTGTACTTCTCTATCTTCTTGATGAGGCTCTGGAGCTTGCCCTGATGCAAGAACGTATCCAAGCAATTCTTCGAGCAGCAAGCATCAGCCGCTGGACCCTGGATCCTTGCATGCAGACACTGGAGAAGTGCAGGCACTGCAGAAGTGTACGGCACTGAAGAAGTGCAAGGACACAAACGAGGCATGAGAGGCTGGACCCATATCCCGAAGAACAGCCGAGAAGCTTCGCCGGTGGGACAGTGCTCGATTGACGAAGAGGTCCAGCCACGGGCCGAAAATTGACCTGTTGCAAGGGAGCCTTCAGCACCAGACCACACTCATCATCTGAAGGCAGATCCGCCATGGCAGTGGATCTTTACTTCTCAACCCTCAAGAGCAAAATGCTTTCTGATCAGAAAGAAGGGTTTCAAGCACTGCAGCACCAAATTCAAATCAAGCATCAATCTGCGCCAATCATCAGATGAGCAATACCATTTAAGGTAGCAACTATCTGCATGCATGATATGCCAGCACAGAAGCCAGGTCGCAGACCCCACAGGGACTCATCCACCTGACGTGGAAGTTGCGATGTTGCAATATATGTTCGGTTTCGCATCATGCTTTTATTGCCATGCACACGTGTATATCATGCTTTGTTTAGCCTTGTGTGTCAATGTGATGACTCTACGACACCGACTTGACAGCGAAAGCTATACTTGCAGCCGGCACCTGCCCTCTATCTTATATCTAGCAGCAGACAATTTCACTATTATTATATAAACATGTATGCCGCTATCTTATATGTGTATATGTTACATGACAATCACATATTTATAGCATGACATAGAGAGAGGAGTTACAAATGGGGATTGCACTTCCTCATTGCTTGGCAAAGCCATGTTCATGTGCAATGCTTGAATGATTTCGGAGCCTTGCACTTCTTCAGTGCCTGCATTTGCACTTCTTCAGTGCCTGCACTTCTCCAGTGCCTGCACTTCTCCAGTGTCTTCAATAGTGGACCTGCCTTCACTAGTCAACTTTGATCGGTATGCTCGCAACAAAGTAGTCTATCTCTGTCCCCCAAGACTATATCATCGTTTGCATCTCATATTGCAGAAGTACGTGCTGACATGTAAGAAATTAGGTCGCGGCGAGCCAGATGAGAAGCTCCATGCTCAGCAGGATCCTTAGCAACAGTCGGTGTCGCCACTGGTTCACAGCCCCGGCTCATAGCCCCGAAGAACGAATTTAAGAAATGGCCAGATCAGGCACTGAAGGAGGGTCCCACTGGCTGTGCGAGGCCACCCGAATGCGTAATTTCACAAAAGTGTTAAGTGTCTGCTGACTGCACCCTTAGTGTGCTGCGAAATCTACAGAGTCTAGCACCAACAATCTTCAACCTGAGCCTGGTGATCCTGGCTTCCGAAATAATTAGTGGACCCACTTATGGATAAAACTTTCAATTCACTGGGCGGCAGAGAGTGAAGCTGAAGTGCCAAAATCCCTGAGAGACCGTAGCTACTATGGCAGCTAACTAAGGACTTTTCGATTCTGGCAGGAGGGCATTGACTTGGATTCATCTTGATCAACAGCCAGGGCCTCATGCTTCCAAATTGAAATTAAATTGTGAGGCATGTGTGCTCGTTCTGTCTCCTGACATGAATGAAGCTCAGCAGGTGCTTTCTGGTCGAAGCACTGAACAAGTGCACAACAGGGCACTAAAGAAGATCACTCTGTACTATTTGCAAAGCACTGTGCAAGTGCATCTCTTTGTTAAACCTGCTATACTTAGATGCAGACACAAAAATTGTGGTACAATGTCAGCTTGCGGGGGCTTCCTGTGGGTGCGTGGGCTCCAGGATGGATTTCGTAGTCTGTAAGCTGGGGTGGT